GAGCTCAACCAAAGACTCACAGCTGTGCAGAAAGACCTAGTATGAGAGTTATCTCTACCCTCATTATAATGCTAAAATCTGATGCTGAAATCTCCACCCAAGGAGGAGCTGAAACTCATTAACGTAACATACAATGTACGCACGCTTAGGCGCATTTCCTTAAGACCCAGATGTGACCTTATGCCCACCTCTACATACAATGACAAAACTCCTCTTTCTGAATATTGATCCTAACCCTAAATAAAAGAGACCCATTCACCCCTGCTCAGGGAGTCACAGCATTGCAAGTCATAGCTTTGGAAGTTATTCCTCATGGTCTCCTTATTTGCTGCAAATAAAATTTCCTTTGTCTGAAACTCCACCTGGTGTAGTCTCTACCTGGAACTCACCAAGGAGGGAACTCACATTAGTTCAATTGCAATTTCAGGCCTGACTTGGTGGCCAATTAACACAGAGAGATTGAGCAAGTCACTTCGCAAGAGATTTTTATGATTATTCAAAAATGCATTCTGGGGGCCTGGGTGGCTCAGTCAACTAAGTGTCTGCCTTCCGACTCAGGTCATGATCCCAGGACCCTGGGATCAAGTCCCACATCGGGTTCCCTGCTCAGCGTGGGGTCAGCTTCTCCCTCTCCCTCTCCCCCCCCCCCCCCCCCGCTTATGCTCTCTCTCACTCACTCTATCAAATAAATAAATATTTTTAAAAAACAAAAAATGCAAACCCCCAAATCCCAAAAATGCATTCCTGGGGTCCTGGGTGGCTCAGTCAGTTAGGTGTCCAACTCTTGATTTCAGCTCAGGTCATGATCTCAGGGTCCTGGGATCAAGCTCTGAGTTGAGCCCGGTGTCAGGATCTGTGGTCAGCTGGGAGTCCGCTTAGATTCTCTCCCTCTCCCTCTGCCCCTCCCCCCACTTGTGCTCTTCTCTCTCAAATAAAATAAATAAATATATAAATCTTTAAAAAAAAAAAAAACGGGGGTGGGGGGCGTCTGGGTGGCTCAGTCAGTTAAGTGTCCAACTCTTGATTTTGGCTCAGGTCATGATCCTGGTCATGGTCATGGGATGGAGCCTGGCATTGAGCTCCCCACTCTGCAGGGAATCTGTCTGTCCCTCTTCCTCTGCTCCTCCCCTACTCACACTCTCTCTCTGTCTCTCAAATAAATGAATAAATAAAATCTTTTTAAAAAATGTATTCCTGGGGCACCTGGGTGGCTCAGTCGTTAAGCATCTGCCTTCAGCTCAGGTCCTGATCCCAGGGTCCTGGGATCGAGCCGCGCATCGGGCTCCCTGCTCCGCGGGAAGCCTGCTTCTCCCTCTCCCGCTTCCCCTGCTTGTGTTCCCTCTCTCGCTGTGTCTCTCTCTGTCAAATAAATAAATAAAATCTTTAAAAAAAAAAATGTATTCCTGGGGCGCCTGAGTGGCTCAGTCATTAGGCGTCTGCCTTCGGCTCGGGTCATGATCCTGCGGCCCTGGGATCGAGCCCCACGTCGGGCTCCCTGCTTTGCAGGGGGCCTGCTTCTCCCTCTCCCACTCCCCTTGCTTGTGTTCCCTCTCTCGCTGTCTTTCTCTCTGTGTCAAATAAATAAATAAAATCTTTTTTTTTTAAAGATTTTATTTATTTATTTGAGAGAGAGAGAGAATGAGAGAGAGAGCACATGAGAGGAGGGAGGATCAGAGGGAGAAGCAGACTCCTTGCCAAGCAAGGAGCCTGATGCGGGACTCGATCCAGGGACTACAAGGATCATGACCCGAGCCGAAGGCAGTCACTTAACCAACTGAGCCACCCAGGCCCCCAAATAAATAAAATCTTAAAAAAAAAAATGTATTCCTTTGCTGAGTGTGAATTTTCTCTTTCAAAGCTGACTGGCTGGCTCAGCATAACCTCAATGAAATCAGGAATAGAAATGTGGTCAAGGGGTGCCTGGGTGGCTCAGTCGTTAGGCATCTGCCTTCAGCTCGGGTCATGATCCCAGGGTTCTGGGATCGAGCCCCGCATTGAGCTCCCTGCTCAGCGGGGAGCCTGCTTCTCCCTCTCCCACTCCCCCTGCTGTGTTCCCTCTCTGGCTGTGTCTCTCTCTGTCAAATAAATAAATAAAATCTTTGGTCAAGCCATCTCCTGGCAGATGAGCACCCAGGCAAGGAGGACCATCTGAGAGGGAAGCCATGCCAGCCTTTCTTGGAAAGGGAGAGAAGACAGCCTTTCCAAGCACCTGTCTGCAAGCACCAGGGTGAGTAGGGCAGTGTACCTGGAAAGCAAACCCTGACATCTTGTCTAGCAGGTGATCATTTGCACAAAGGATCTCTGTCATTTACATTTCACTTAGCTCCTAGGGATAAAAGCAGACAGGCAAGGGGCAGATACCAAGCACTCACCGTGTATAGGGTTGTGCTGGACAATATTGAGAGCTTGCCAGTGTCTGAGAGGACTGAGGACACACATACTGAATAACAGAAGGGTCCCTTAGAGAGTAATGTGTCCACGCATGCCTGTGTGTGGATCAATACTAATGACTGTCATTACTGAGTAAAAGAGTGCCAAACTTGATAGATTTGATGCAATCACCATCAAAATCCCAGCAGGCTATCTTGAAGAAATAGACAAGATGATTTGAAAATGTATATGGAAAAGCAAAGGCTCTAGAATAGTCAATCTTCAAAATGAATAGAGCTGGAGGACATACACTACCTGATACCAACATTTGCTATAAAGCTTACAATAACCAGAGGGGCACTTGGGTGGCTCAGTCTGTTAAGCGGCTGCCTTTAGCTCAGGTCGTGATCTCAGGGTCCTGGGATCGAACCCTGCATCAGGCTCCATGCTCAGCAGGAGTCTGCTTCTTCCTCTCCCTCTGCCCCTCCTCTCCCCCACTTGTGGCTCTCTCTCTCTCTCTCAAATAAATAAAATAAGATAAAATAAAATTTTAAAAAAGCTTACAATAACCAGGACAGTGTGGTATCAGTGGAAGGAGAGACAAATAGATTGACAGAACAGAATAGAATCCAGAAATGGATTCATACATATACAGTTAGTTGATTTTCCAAAAATTGCCAAGTCAAGTCAATGGGGAAAGGAATGTCTCTTCAATGAAAATTGCTGAAACAACTGGAAATCGATTTGGAAAAAAATGAATCTTGACCCTTATTTGACCTTATTCACAACATTAATTTGAGGTGGATCATGGACCTAACCTTAAACCCCAGGCCCATAAAGCTTCTTGACGAAAACAGAAGACTGTCCTTGAGCAGGATACAAAAGGGAAGAAAAACCCTGCTAAAATGGCTTCATCAGAATTTAAAATGTCTGCTTATCAAGAGCACTATTAAGAAAATAACTGACAAGCTGCAGACCTGGAAAAATATCTTTGCAGCCATAAAACTGGGAAAGGATGTATATTCAAGACATGTAAAGAGCTCTTACAAATTGGCACTAAAAATAAAAACATTCCAATTACAAAATGGGAAAAGACTTCCAACAGACACCTCACAAAGTAAGATATACAAATGGCCAATAAGCAGTCAAAAAAGCCCTCAACATCATTAGTCCTCAGGGAAATGGCCGCTATAAGAACAGGGAAACATGACTTCATACATACTAAAATGGCTAAAAAAACCCTGGTGTTCCAGTAACCTATTGCTGCGTATCTTGTCACCCCAAAACTTAGAAATGTCAACCATTATAATCATTTTATTATCTCTTACAATTTCTTTGGGTCAGGAACTCTGGAAGGGCTTGGCTGGGTGAGACTGGCCTGGGGGTGGGGGAGTGGTCTCTCCTGCTGTTGCAGTCAGACTATGGCTGGATGTGGAAAGTCGGGGACTGGAGCAGCTGGGGCCTCTCGCTCTCTCTCCCTTCACACAGTTTTATGGTCTTTCCATGTGGTCTTGTTTGGGCTTCTTCACAGCATGGCAGCCTCCAGGTACTCAGACTTCCTTCCAGGGAGCTCGGGTCTCCAAGGCTAACAAGGATGCTGTTGCATTACGTTTTATGAACTAGTTAAGAAGGGACAGCATCACTTTCACCACATTCCATGGGTTACAAGTGAGTCAACCAAACCCACCTAGATTGAAGGGGAGTGGAATTAGACTCTGTCTCTTGATGTGGAAGTGGCAAGATTCTAGAAGAGCAAGGGGGGATGAGAGCTATTACTGCAGCCGTTTTTGGAAAATACAACCTGTGGTGGATAAACCCGTCATGAAAAAGCAGACAGATCACACCAGGCCTTGTAAGCCACACTAAAGTTCAGTCTTGATAGGTATTGTGATGGGGACAACTGGAGGGCTTTAAGCAAGAGAGTGAAATTAGCCAATTGTCTTTAAAAGTTCGTGGCAGCAGGTGTTGGATAAAGAATTTGCGAGGAGGGTTTGGAAGCAGGGAGACCATTTAGGAGGGGGGTTCAGAAGCTCAAGTGCCGGGCGCCTGGGTGGCTCAGTTGGTTGAGCGGCTGCCTTCGGCTCGGGTCATGATCCTGGAGTCCCGGGATCGAGTCCCGCATCCAGCTCCCTGCTCAGCGGGGAGTCTGCTTCTCCCTCTGACCCTCCCCCCTCTCATGCTCTCTGTCTCTCATTCTCTCTCTCAAATAAATAAATAAAATCTTTAAAAAAAAAGAGAAGTTCAAGTGCCAGGCATGGCCAGAGTCCCGGCCTGGGTGAGTGTCGGGGAAGGAGGGCCGCCAGGTTTCCGCCTGTCCAGCTATTTTGTTCACTGAGCACCACGGAGAAGCAAGTTTGTTTGAGGCGCGTTGGGCTTGAAAGGCCACGGTAGACGAACGAGACTGGAACTCGGGAGATAAAAAATTGAGGGAGACAACCAACAGCATTTTAAAAGGCACAGATGTGGACGTATGTGACAGGCCAAGTTCTGGCAACTCTCCACTCACTCCTCCCGACGCGCCTCGGACTGTGCCAAGTTCTCGCACAGGCTGAACGGCGCGTGCGCACACCTACATCCCCGGGAGGCCCCTGGGCGGCAGCTTCCGGATTGCGCACGCGCGGTGTGCGGCGGTCGCCATGGAGACGCGTGGCGCTGGCCGGGCGCTTAGCTCCTGCGGCCGCGGGCTCGGCGGCGGGGGTCTTGGGCTGTCCCTGGCGCGGGTGGCGGCGCGGAGGGCGAATGGACTGCCGCGGTGGAGCGGGGGCGTCGGGGTACGGCGAAGAGGGCGAGGACGACGAGGACGACGAGGAGGAGCGAGAGGGTGGCACTGCGGGCTTTCAGGGCGCCAAGCTGCCCCCCATCGCAGGCAGCGCCTCAGAACCGAACAAACGGAAGGTGAAGAAGAAAAAGAAGAAGAAGACGACCAAGGGGTCCGGCAAGGGGGACGGTAAGACGAGCAGCTAGCGCAGCAGCCTCAGCTCCCCGTACCAGAGTTCCCCAAGCTCACCCATCCCCAGTCCTCAGAGACCCCCATCTACTTGGGAACCACTTCACACCAGAAGCAGAAACTCGCCAGTCCCAAACAGAGGTCCTCCCGCTCCCCACACGTACCACTTAACGCAACACAGTGAAGACCCAGCCCTCTCCATAAAAACCATACATGTCCACAGAGACCCCAAATCCTGCACAGAGAATTTTCAACATCCATGGAGACCCTCTACCCCACAGAGATCCCCAGCATCCCCAGCATTATTCCCGCAGAGCCTCCCAGCTCCACACAGCAGCTCAGCTTTGCACGGACACCCTCTCAATTTCCTAATCCCTCAGCTAAACCTCAGAATCTTAAATAACCACACTTTCCCCACTGAAACTTCAAGGCCTCCTACAGAGATTCCCTCATCTTCATAGAGACCTTCCCCAAGCCTAAGATGCTAAGACACTGGTGACAAACAGGCACAGAAACACAGGTTTTTGCCTTTTGCTCCATGCGTTAGGGGCACCTGCCCTCTCGATGTTACGCAGACATCCTGTAAATGTATAGAAAGTATCTTTCCTGCACGGGCTGTCTCCCGCCACCCCCCATTCGCCAGGGCCAGCCCTCAACTGCACACACACCATCACACCAGTGACTGCTACATGCTCTTGTAATCCCCAACACCCTCAACAACAGCCCCTTATAGCATTATAACCACCAAATAAAACTAAAGCACAGATACCCCATCCAGCACACGCATTCCCAGGCTACACGTACGTATGGGTACTCGGCTACACACTCATGTGCTTAAACCCCACCAGCCAAACACTGCCTGGACACATGCACTCAGGTTCTCACTCCAGTCTCTCCCATGGACACCTCACGTACATACACACACCAACACCTGCCCTAATCCCACAGAGTGCCTATATCTCACCAAGTTCCTCTCCCAGAACCCCCCAGATTTCTTGACAAAGGCACTGAGCACCCAGTTTATGGAGAGAGCATGCAACAGTAACATAGAAGGGACCTGCCTATGAGTGCTACGTTTCCAGTGTCACTTGCGTGGTCCCCTTCTGGGGCTTTGACTGTCAGGGAGGTGGCTCTCACCTCCAGCACGGGTAGTCCTTGGTTCAGGTTTCGGGGCCCTGGCCTGTAGCGTGCAGAGCTGGCACCCCCGGCGAGCTGGAGGCAGAGGGAGTGGCAGTCTTCCTCGTGTCATGCTTGTAGTTTGGGAAAGGGAGCAATGGGAGGGTTATAATGACTTCTTCAGGTGGAATCCTAATAGAAAGGCAAGGAAAAAATTCTGGAGTTGAGGTCAAAAAGCCCCATTTGTATCTGCAAAACCAAATTAGGAAACCTGTTGTCCTTTTGGCTTACTTTCCTAACTCTGGAAATTATAGTGGCATGTAATTCATATGGTCAGCAGGGGACACCAAATAGTATTGGAGGAATAGGAAGGCATAGAAATGTCCAGAGAGGACTTTTTTAATTTTCTCTTTTTTTAGGGGGGATTTCTGCCTCCCCAAAAGTAGAAGGATGAGCCGATGAAAGAACCACAACTTATAGTACTTTATATGAGGACTCTATAATTCAGAAATGCTATTAATTGAAAAAAACAACTCAGTACAAGCCACACAGCAGAAAAGTACTTCCTGGCTTGGCATGATATTGGTTTCCACAATCAGATTTAGGAAGCTTTTCTGCTGTACTCCATTTCTCCCATCATAAAGAAGTCCAGACTAGGGGTGGAGTCATAGACTCCTCAAACTGGAAGGTACCTGGATGAGATATGGAGCATGAATCGCACAGTGGAAAGAATAGGAACAGGGCACCGGGAGCCAGGCCTGTGTTCGAATCCTGACCCCTGCCACTTACTATGTGATATTGGTAAGGTAGACTTTTGGAGTTTCAGTTTCTTCACCTGGAAAACAGGGTTGATAACCTTTATCCAGAGGACCGGCCTCTAGTACGTGCTCTGTAAATGGTTCCTCCTTCTCCAAAATGACTTGAGGAAAAGCCTAGAGCCGGTGGGTGTGTAGGAGGCTGGTGGGCTTGGCTCTCTGAGCCCTAGGCCAGGAGGGGCCTCCACCTCGTACACCTTTGGGGACTTGGGCAGCGCACCCGCTAACCGGCTCGTCTGCTCAGCAGATAAACATCAGAGTCCAGGCCTGAAGTGTCAGCAGCTGTCCTCATCCTTTCACCACATCTTAAGTCCCAGCAAAGATCATGGCCCCAGGCAAGAGCACAAACAGGACAAAGGTGAGAACAGGCCCATCCCCCCTTACTCCTCCACTGTAAGTCTCCCCCATTTTGCTGAAATAGAAGAGAACCTCTCCAACCAGATCAACGAAAGCCTGCGTTGGGACGGAATTCTCGCAGACCCAGAGGCCGAAAGAGAAAGGATTCGCATATACAAGCTGAACCGGAGGAAGCGGTACCGGATTTTGGCCCTCAAGGGCTTCCACTCTGACCTGGGTGGCCAGGAGAACCCCGAGAACCTGCCGTACCTCCCGGATAAAGAGAGCAGCACTGAGGGCAGGCAGCCCGCGCCGAAAGCCGACCGGCCCAGCCACGGCTTGGAAGGAAGCCTCACGCCCAGGCTGCTGCGCTCTGATCTGGCTGCCGCTCTGCCAGAGTGAAAATCCAGCCCGACGCCAAGTCCGCACTGCCAGTTTCTGTGTCACAGAAGAATAATAATAAACGGAAATCAGAACGCCTGAAGGAAGCAGATGTCTGGTGTGTCGACGGGGCCCGCCTCTCCTTCCACCAGGGTGCCTTTCGTGGCCCGGGGAGGGCACAGCCGTGTAATGGACACAGCTCTTTCTGGATTTTTTTTTTCTTAGATAATTTGGCGTCTCTTTGTTATTTAATTTCTCATCACAGATGTCTGTAATCTTCCCCTCTAAAAGACAGAGTGTGTAGATTATATCAATTCCAACTCTTAAGCTAATTTAATGGGTAAAACTCCTCACACAGCATGCTTCTCTAGGCCCAACGAAAATGCCCCAAATATCCCGGAGGCTTTTTTTCCTTTTTTTAAATTACATACACTCCCTGCCCTTATGTGGTCTTCAAAATAACTGAGTTCCAGAACTCCATCCCTGGGAGATAATTATGAGAAGTCTCAAAAGAGGTATTGCTTCTCTTCTAAATATGGTCATCCCAGGGAGCAAACTGGTGGTTGCCAGAGGGGAAAGGGGTTGGGGGTGGGGGAAACAGGTGAGGGGGCTCAATTGTACAGTGATGGATGGTAACTGGACTTGTGCAGTGATCACTTTGTAGCGTGTACAAATACTGAATTATGATGTTGGACACCTGAAGCTTATGTAGTGTTACATACCAATTTTACTTCAATTAAAAAAATATATATATATATAGTCCTCCTCTAATCCCCTAAAACAGCGTTTTAAGCAAAGTTCTGGAGCATTAAAAAGGTCCTACTATACTACTTGTCCTAAATTAATATTCTTCCCTTGCACCAATATTTATTGAGTGGGAGCCAATGTGTTGTGTTAGTTTGGGTTCTCCAGAAGCAGACCCTGAATCAAAGACTCAAATGGAAATAGATTATTTGGGAACCAAAGGAAAGCTCAGTAGAGAAGGCACAGGGAGGGGAAGACAGCCAATCCAGGGACACGGTCAAGCCAGTTTCCATATTGGCTAACTGGAGCTTAATCCCACTGGGAAACACTGTCAGGATTATGTACTCTGAGCGTGAGGAAGCTGGGCCCTTCTACTGCCCATAGGCATTGGCTGAGGGATGGTCCTGGGGGTGTTAATTTCCTGGCATTTCCAGCCTGCCAAACAGGTTGGCCCAGAGGCCCTCCTCAGGCACAAAGATGCAGACTGGGAGGTGCAGGGGATGGGGTAGTCTCTATGCAACACGGTGTAGGGTCCAGGAGGGACGTAGTGGAGGTTTAAGATCAGGTTCCTGCCTTCCAAGGAATTATACTTGGAAGAAGTTGAAAGCCAGTACAAAACATTACAGAATGCTTTTTTGAAAGTGAAGCGGAAGTGGTCATCTCGGTCCCTGCTAGCCCCAGCTGACAGAGAAGCCCTCCTCTTACCTTTCCTTAAATGGCCACTTACAGAGTTGTCACATTCTGGCCATCGTATTGTGGCAAAATATAGCAAAAGGACTTTTGGAAGAGCCCCGTCCTCCCCGGCAGAGAGGGGGTTAGCAGGCTCCTCTGGCAGGGACCCCCAAGCAGACAGGGATGGCCCTCCCTGGGCTGCTGTCCAGGTTGCGGGGCACCGATAGAATCAAGTAAAAAGGAACAAGGGCTTTGGTGTGTCCCCATAGAGAGGAGACAGGACATATGTTCACCCTCAGCCACAGGACCTTGCCTGAGGCCCCAGGGCTCGAGGTAAAGACAGCGGAGGGTGGAGCGGCTGGGCTGCTCTCTCCCGTGCCCTCTGGATCAACCGTAGTCGCTGGGGGTGTGGGGTGTGGGGTGTGGGAGAGTCTGAGGCCGCAGGATGCCTTGGTCACTTTGCAGTGGTGTCTTCCATGGGTGGTGAGAGTGGGGGTGGCCTGTAGTCACCTTTCTGCTATGAGATATTCTGGTGTAGTGGTTAAAATGATGAGCTTTGACATCAGAGCTGAATTTTTGTCTTTCCCACTATGTGCTAGTTGTGTGAACTCAGGGAAATTGCTTAACTTCTCTGAGCACTACCTCCCACATCTGGAAACAGGGATGCAGCGACCTACCTCGGTGCTGTGGGAATCAAAGGCAGTACTTACGTAAAGTCTTCAGCACAGGGCGCCTGGGTGGCTCAGTTGGTTAAGCAACTGCCTTCAGCTCAGGTCATGATCCTGGAGTCCCTGGATCGAATCCCGTGTCAGGTTCCTGCTCGGTGGGGAGTCTGCTTCTCCCTCTGACCCTCTCCCCTCTCATGCACTCTCTCACTCTCTCTCTCAAGTAAATAAATAAAATCTTAAAGGAAAAAAAAAAATAAAGCCTTCAGCATAGCACCTCACCCCTAGGAAGCACTCAGTTGGAAGTTTGTTTTTTTTTTTAATTTATTTGACAGAGAGACAGCGAGAGAACACAGCAGGGGGAGTGGGAGAGGGAGAAGCAGGCTTCCCACGGAGCAGGGAGCTCGACATGGGCCTCGATCCCAGGACCCTGGGATCATGACCTGAGCTGAAGGCAGACGCTTAACTGACTCAGCCACCCAGGCACCCCTCTTTTTTTTTTTTTTTTTTAAGATTTATTTATTATTTATTTGAGAGAGAGAGAGAACATGCAAGCAGGGGGAGGGGGAGGGAGAGGGGGAGAGAACCCTCAGATTTTCCACTGAGGGCAGAGCCCAACATGGGGCTCAATACCAACACCCTGAGATAATAACCTGAGCTGAAATCAAGACTGTGATGTTTAACTGACTGAGCCACCGAGGTGCCCCTTAAATTGCATTTCAAAAAACGTTAGTCCTATGAAATGCTCATGTGTTCTCTGGTCCATGCTACATTTCCCAAATGTAGCATTTGGGAAATGCTACATAGTAAATTTTCCCTTTTAAAGATTCTTAATACACATTACCATTTTAAAAGCTATGGTAGCTTATTGTACAGCAAATCTTTACTCCCCCCCCATTTTCATGGGGGAAGTATGGTTCCCTGACCCACTGATGTTAGGTTGGACCATGCGACTTGCTTTGGCCAATAGAACAGGCGTGGAGATGACTGGGTGGCAGGAGGGCAGACTTTAAGAGGTATTGTATGTTTCTTCTTGCTCCTCTTGATCTTTTGACCTCCTCCATGAGAAGAATGTGCCCCCGCTAACCTCTCTAGCCTGCTTTAGAGACGAGTGGAACAAACCTGAACTCAACACCCAGCCTTGGGCAGAACTGCCCAATCAAGACGTCTACATGTTTACACCAGAAATAAATGCTTGCTGCTGTGCACCACTACGATTTTGTGGTTGTTACGCAGCAGAAGCTGACAATGCGGGTGCTCCATGAAGCCCCACAATAAACATATTTGGCATCTTCAGCTTTTCATTTTCCCAAACTTATTTGACCATACAACCTCCTACTCCACAGAAAGCACTTTGGGAAGTAGTGTTATGAATGAAACACTTTGTAGTGATTATGCCCTAAGATAAAATTATTAGAATTCTATTTTGAGAAGAGGTATTTCTTGCAATAGGATTTGTTACCCAATCAATAAAGTCATTCCTTTCTCTCATTTCTGGGAAGTATACCAAAATGGCTTCCTCAGATTTATCATATTTTTTTTTAAAGATTTTATTTATTTATTTGACAGAGAGACAGTGAGAGAGGGAGCACAAGCAGGGGGAGTGGGAGAGGGAGAAGCAGGCTTCCCGCTGAGCAGGGAGCCCGACGTGGGGCTCGATCCCAGGACCCTGGGATCATGACCTGAGCCGAGGGCAAACCCTTAACGACTGAGCCACCCAGGCATCCCAGATTTATCATATTATTAATTACACCTACTACTTTTTCTCTTGAGGTGCCAGCTTAATCTGATATGCTTAGGAAGGTATTTTTTGAGGGAAAATTGAAAGACTATCAGTTTGGGGCACCTGGGTGGCTCAGTCGGTTAAGCATCTGCCTTCGGCTCAGGTCATGATTTTGGGTTCCTGGAATCAAGCCCTGCATCGCGCTCCCTGCTTGGCGGGGAGCCTGCTTCTCCCTCTCCCTCTGCCTGCCACTCCCCCTGCTTGTGCTCTATCAAATAAATAAAATCTTAAAAAAAATTACTAGTTTCAACACATTTGCTTCTCTCTACACACACACGCACACACAATTATAAATCTACATGCTTTAAATATTTTTCCAGCATAACCTTGGAACTGCTATTAGCTCATTCATTTTGTGGGAAATTTACACTATATAACCTAAGTGGCCATATTAGTTCTTGCTGTCATCCCAGCCAGCCAAATTAGACTTAGTTTCTGTTAAAAAGGGACCGGCTTAAAATATACACACACACACACACACACACAGTAATATACATTCCTGGGACATATTTAAGTGTAACTCAAAGACTAACAGTAAGGCACAGAGCCTTGCCGTGAATTTGACACTTGAATGAAATAAGATGCCTTCACTTTTGATAATTCTTATCAACTCTTATCAACACTTTGCCCAAAGGGACTTGCCTTCTGGGAAGACAATGGCCTGCGATTGAAGAGGTTGCAGGTATTAAATGAATAGTGTTACCACTCCAACTGCCTCAGTTTGAGATGTTGGCAGTAAGAAGTTCCCAACACAGTTCAGTCTTGCTTCTGCCACCATACTTCATTCTTGTCAAAATTATGTGTAGGACACTGACAGACGTGGAGCCCTCAGGTCCTGGCGCCAATACCACTGTTTATAACTGTCCCTTTGTCCAGTGCCTATAGGTTTGTCCAGCCCAGAGCAAATATCCCACAATAAAATAAGGATGTGTTAGACTAACGCATGTATTTCTTCTGCAAAATGGGAGAAAGGCAATTTGAAAGGGGAGGTGGGAAGGAAGGGCTGGACCAGTCATAATTTCAGGGTAGATGAGTTTTAGCAAAGAGTACACACTGAATTTGGGAACAAATTCCCTAAAACTATCTGTGCTGAGGGGTCCCTGTGAAATCTCGTATCCCAGGGGAATGCATACTCCAGATAGAAGTATCGTAGTATTAAATACAATCAAATCTTAAAATTTCTCAAGATGAGGTGTTTTTCTCATGTTTCTTCACCAAAACATTATAATTTTACTGTAAAAAAGAGAAGCACCAGGCGCCTGGGTGGCTCAGTTGGTTGGGCGACTGCCTTCGGCTCAGGTCATGATCCTGGAGTCCCGGGATCGAGTCCCACATCGGGCTCCCAGCTCGGCAGGGAGTCTGCTTCTCCCTCTGACCCTCCTTCCTCTCATGTTCTCTGCCTCTCATTCTCTCTCTCAAATAAATAAATAAAATCTTAAAAAAAAAAAAAAAAGATGATCTCCCAAAAATTAAAAAAAAAAAAAAAAGAGAGAAGCACCTCTAAGTTTTGTTTCTTTAAAGATAATTTATTGTTAAATGAAGAAGTCACAAAGCAAAATGGAATGGGACAGATGTCAAAGATAAATTTAAAAAATAGTTTTTGGCAAATACAGTTCTGGATTTCCTAAAGGTTAGAAACAGGAAAAGAGTCAAATGAAAAGGTAATCGTTCTTTTTAAAAGGTCTGACTTTGAAAAGAAAACAAC